ACTTGATGAACATATTGACTCCATGAATATTGGCCAAGACAACGACATTGTCTACTCAGTACTCGTTGTGAAGATGGGAATTTGACACATCAACAACTCACCGAACTGCTAGAATAGAAACGAGCACTCTACCCTTGAATCTCACAGATTCAATCGTCGCGGGTCTGAAATTTGATTCTTTCATACTGTTATTGCATCTTATCTCATCTCGTCTCAAACCAAGCAAAGATAACGACAGCAAATTAAAAACAAAAACATCCGACAAGAGTTCCACGAATCGAACCCACCAATATTTACCCACAAAAAAAGCTCATTTCCGGGAATCTTCTTGCACTTGAGAACATCAACAACCTCATTGGCATTACTTACTGTTTACTCGAATAATAAATCCGAAGAGTGGGGATAAGAGGGTTTTATACGACGAGGTCGGTGATTGTTTCAATCTGGAGATATGAAAATGTGAATGTATGAACACATTGAGTGAGAGATACACAAGCGAGAAAGAAAGCTAGAGATCGAGGTGTGTGCATGCTAGAATGTCTCATTTGCCATTATAAAAGAAAGCATTCTACCCGACCATTGACCTCAACACCCTCGAAGAGAGATGACAACGGAGTAACGAGGAGAAGTTCCAAAGTGTCGACCTCCCCAGTCCGACAAACTAACTCCAACAAAAAAGAAGGGAATAAGAGACGTCACAACAGCAATCAAGTTCTCCAGCTTTACTCGATAGATATAAAAACTTACGTTTTCAGTGCCTAGATATCCGTCAAATCGACAATAGCAAAAGAACTTAACAACAATGACACAACCAAACGAATGACAACGAATCTCATATCCCGAATTTACACCATCACTCATTCTTTCCCATCTCGTGTTCTTTCAGAGCATATATTTTCTCTCTCCTGACCGCATCCCTCAATTCTGGTGCCGTTCAGAATCAACCACCCAATCTCAATTTTCGATGAATGATTCCCACACCCACGACTCCTTTTTGCATCATTACAGGCCTTGGTATACTGCTTTGGCAGAAAAGAAGATGATGAGAATGGAAGATTATATAGATGAGAGATCTGAAGGTAGTTAGTCAGTCTATCAATATTCAAGAATAGAAAGAGTACCTAGGTAAGGGCTGAGTGTATCCATAGAGAACGATGTAGATGGAGAAGTAGTGAATGATCATATCTACATCTTCATACTCAGTCCCTGAATCTCCTACAGATCCCTAACCAAATATATAAACACCAAGCTATCCAATCGCACTTGAACCAGTAGAATTGTATACCGAAGATCATTTCGATATGTTTATGACTATCTCCATTATATTACAAATAAGTGCCATTGCACCGGTGGTTATTCTAGAGTAGCTGTTTCATTCAAAGCAGAGATGGGAAGGTGGATGTACGGAGAATCGATAGTTTCATGTGATTTTAATAATAAATCTCAACGACGACAACGAACATAGATCATCTCATCATCTCATCATCTCATCATCTCATCATCTCATCATCTCATCATCTCATCATCTCATCATCTCATCATCTCATCATCTCATCATCTCATCATCTCATCATCTCCCCATCTCCCCATCTTACCATCTCATAACAAGATATCCAACTCCCGAAAAAGTCCTACTATACGCATGCACAGAATTTCTCACTCCTATTCTTTAACTCTATCCTCTCTCAAAACCCATGACCCATAACATCCCCCTACCATCACTCTGAATATCTGTCCAATCTCTAATCTTCAGACCTCAAAGCTCCGAACCCCCATAAGAATCTTTCTCCACCTGCTTGAGTTCTATTAATTCTCAAAGAAATTATCCCCCGACTCAATCTTTATATAGACATCTGGATGACAAAATTCTTATCTTTCTCAGAATGGGAGAAAGCGGATTGTCTTTCCACCATACCTAGTCCCGTGGATATCTACTCACCCAATATTCCTAATACAAGTGCCCGCAACTATCTCGCTTATTTTCATCTTCCCCTCAACATCTCTTCTCCCTTTATTTCCCTTTTCCAACTCTCTGCTTATACCCTCCTTTCTTCTCTTACCATCCTCTCACTCTTATCTGCCTCTCCTCTCCTCTCCTTTCCTCTCATCTTCTCACATCTTCTCTCATCCCATCTCCTCTCATTCTCCTCTTCTCTCCTTTCCTCTCATTAACTTCTCATCTCACCTTATCTCAAAAATAATTCCTAATCCCCAATTCCAATTCCTAACAAACATACCTACCCAGATAACCCACACCTCACCACCATCACCACCACCACCACAACAAAAAAAATATCAATATCAATAAACCCAGCAATCAATAATGTATCGAACCAATCCAATCAACCTCGAATTACCCAAATAGATATGAAGCGACATAACACTTCTTACCTCTTCCGAATTCCCTACAACCTATTACTTATTCCTCCACTCTTGACTATCCACCTCCAACCAAAAAGATCCCCCTCCCCTCTTCTTACTTTTTCCATTTCTCCTATACCCTACTTATACACTATACTCATATGTTATATACCATACCCTATTTACTCATATACCATATCCATACTCCTCTATCTTGCACCCTCCATACATCTCTTCCTTCTCCTCTTCCTCTCCTCCTCCCCCCTTTTATCAATCTCCACCTTCCAATCATTCATTCCCCAATCCTTCTTTCCCGCTTCTTCCCTCCTTTTATATCCCCTCGTTCTCTCTTTTCCCTTCCCCTAAAAATTCAAATATCCCAATATCCCAATATCCCAAAATCCAAACATCCCCCCTTTTAACCTCCCCATATCATCCCAGCATCTACCCCCAAAGAAATAACATCCATCTACATTTACATCCATATCCACTTACCTACCGCCCCATCTCATTTCATCTCATTATTCACTCCGTAGAATCATTACTCTCCCACCCATCCAATCCTCCATTACTACTTCATCAATCTAAGTTTCTTAAACCACCAATGTACCATCAATCCTCTCCAATCACTCCAATTACCATTTTATTAACCATTATCTCAACCATCTCATCAACCATCTTCTAGCCATCTACTTAACCACCTCCTCAAAACCATTACTCAACCCCCGCATACCTGAATATACACATTATATCATATCATATCACATCATATTATATCAACTCCAACTCCAATTCATCAATCTATCACCCAACCACCACCTATCTACTTACCACCACCTATCAGCAACTCCCTCACCCCTCACCCTCTCAAATCATTTATTTACTCTATTAATTTACTCATTCACCTTAAACTAAACATCAACTAAACATCAACTAAGCATTAATTAAACATTCAACTAAACCAGTCCAATCCCCCCTCCCCCCTCACTACACTTTACAACCATCCATCCCATCCATCTCATCCATCCCATCCATCTCATCCATCCCATCCATTCTATTCATCCCATCTATCCCATCCCTTTACTTATACATCTAATTAACATCAACATCAACATCACCTTCAACCTCCCAATCCCAATCTACCCTCTACCCCATACCTACCGCCTACCCACTATCTCCCTATCTACCGCCTATCTAACATCTACCCTCTACCTACCTCCCTACCTCCCTACCGCCAACCACCAACCGCCAACCTAACAGCCAACCTAACAGCCACCTACCCCTACCTATCCATCTCCTCAACCAACCATCTCCTCAACCAACCATCCATCTCAACTAATAAACCATCCATCTCAATTAATCAACCATCCATCTCCCCAGCTAATCCACTATTCATCTCCTCAACTCAGTTCTCATACTACATTATCATAATATAGATATTTCACACACCTCACTTCACTTCACTTCACTTCACTTCGCTTCACCACACCACACCACACCATACCGCATCTACCTATCATTATTCTTTTATGAATCATGTCATACACACACACACACGCACACTCCAAACCGAAATCCCATCAAACGTCAAGATGAAGGAAAAAAACAAAAGGAACATTTCAATTGACTTTAATATACTACTCCACTACCTAGGTACTTCCTACTTCCTACCACCCTCCCTCATCCACCAAGTACACTCCTCTCCTCACCATCTCCTTTTTTCCCATCACACTCTCAGCTTTCTCTCTCCTCTCTTCTCCATTCGCCAATTCCCCCTCTCTCATCTTCACTATCATTATTACACCAGTCAATTTCCCCAAAACCTTCCTACCCACCCATCCATCCACCCATTTATTATCCACTCAACTACCAAAAAACCAACAACCAATCCAGTCCCCAACTTCGCAGTAAAATCCTCTATATCTCTTTCCCATATCCTTTCTCTTTTTTACCTTTCCTTCCCTTTCAATCTCCCTCCCATCTGCTTCTCAAATATTTCACCCCAAATCCATGTATTGACCATCCATGCAACACCAACACCAATCTTCCCTCCTCTCTCCATCTCATCTTCTCAATCTGTCTACCTCCCACAGATCCCCCCAAAATACAAGGAGTTCAGTTGTAGTGTTATGCGTCTGTTTATTGTGTAGCGCGAAGTACGTAAGGTGGGTATATTGTATGAATCTCGCATAAACCAGGAAAGGAAAAAGAACATCGAAAAGGAGATAAAAAGATCAGAACCGCAGTTATTTTTTTTTAAAAGTCGAAAAGTAAAAAAATAAAAATTGTTGAAAGGACAGGACGGTATGGATTTTTTGTTTTTTTCAATGACATTGATTAAATGTTTGAAAGTGTATCGTAGAATTGATGCCTATTTGGAAAATTCAATCCTCCTAATTTGGCGAAAGAGTATGTTCTTCATATGCTCATTCTACCCCACGCCTATACACATAAACACCATGAACCCTTATAAAACAGGGACTGATACCCAAAGCAGAACGACCATGTGTTGTAGTCACAAATAATAGAAAAAGGGAGTTAAGGACCGAAAACGCCGAAAAGGATTGAAATTGAGCTAAATAACATTGAAAACTCGTCGTTCGTCACACTGATGTAAATGTGTTGTAATGTAGCTTTACTCATGCGTTGGTAACCTTGAGAAGAATGTTAGTATATTGACAAGATATCATATGTAAAGTGATTTAATATACCTTGAGGATTCTCCTTGAGTAATCTTGGTTATCAGCGATACTGCCATCACTCATTCTTCTATTGGCAAGAGTAGGATCAAGTCGAGTATCGGTAAATGAAGCTCCACCGCTACTGCTACTGATAGGTGATTTACCACCAGTGACAAAGTTATTGACTGCTGCATTTCTTCTATATTCCTCTTCGACTTCACGTCTCTTTCTGTTACGCATAAATATGAAGATACCTCCCGCGATAGCAGCAGCAACCAATACACCGACAACGACGCCTGCGGCGATGCCAGCTTTATTGGGACCTGATGACTTCTTCTCCGCTAGTGCGGAAGCGGAACTGGATGCGGCTGCTGCATCGGATGCTTGAACTGTAACGGTTTGACCTAAAAATGATTGTTAGATTAGGAATGATGGGAGAAGAATCAAAAAGCCTCACCTCCTACGGTGACGACAGATGGTACGATGGATGTGGTTTGAGTGGCGGTATTTGATGCGGATGCTGAAGATGAGGAAGCTGAAGATGGATCATAATTTGGTGCGGAACTTTCGGTACCCGTAAGATAAACAGACCAATAAAGTTTAGTACCACCACACATTTCCGTATCAATACCAGCACAAGGACTATTACATTTCGAATCATCGACGAGATCTGCTGCTGGAGGGAGATCGTCACCACACCAACACTCATTGCTATTGTATGTTGCTTGAACGGCGTAATCGGCAGGTACACATTGTGTTTGACAATATCCTTTGCTGTTGTATGTATATGAAGAATTCTTGGTCAAGCCATCGCCCGATGAGAAACATCCTTGGTATGTTAAAGTTTTATATTGTCGAGGGATGATATCAGGAGATGGTGCAGCGATTGCATTGCCAACCAACGCGGTAGCAGCGATAAAAGCGAGAGTAGATATCGACTTCATGATGAACGAAGGAAGGATATTTCTTTGGCCTTGGCCTTTATTTTGTTATATGTTGATTGAAATCAAACGATCTGTCGCGATGGCGAAGTCGGTATCGATGAGGTAGGTCTATGGTGAGATGTGGTTCGTGTGATGAATGTTTCAAGGTTGGTTTTCGATAACTCTTGTGTTGGATAGTGAGTCGATCTTTTGATTATGACCCGCGAGAGTGAAGTAACAAATCTAGAGGAGAAGAGTTATTTTGTCGAAATGAACGAGAGTGAATCGACGACGGATGTTTAAATTGCGAAAAGATGGTATCGTAATTTGTTTACTGTGTCGAATGATTCAAAAAGGGAGAGGTTGGAAAATTTGATGACTGAATTGAATTTTCCTTTCTGTTGATGTTTGTTTTCGATGTGGTTTAGAGGAAGGAGAGAAAGAGGACAGGCCAATAGTCTCCTGTTTCGTCCGTTGTTGGATGTATAGAGTGTAGGTGGTGTAGAGGGTTGGAAAAAAAAGATGGGTGATGCTGGAATGAGGGTTGTAGAAGAAGGCCGCAAGCAATAAAAGTAAACGAATGTTTGAGTGGTATTTTAGAAACAAGAAGGAATGAAAAAAAAAGAGTAAGAGAGAGAGAGATAGGAAATCAACACAAGAGAATGTAAATCATCGAAAACGATCGTTTGAATTATTTTGGGGGGGGGGGGGGGAATTGATTCTCACGACGTTGACGATGAAGAAGATTTCAGTAATTTTTGAAATTCCTTTTTGTAGATATGGAAAAGGGATTGGTTGATTGATTTGTTGATTAAGGAGATGAAGATGGGATGGAGGGTGGATTGAGGGAGAGGATGATGAGTAGATAGGTTTGGGTGGAGGGTGGTAGATGCAGGCGGTAGGGTTAGCTACTCTGTGGACCGTTAGTAGTGTGAGTTGAGTAAGCGTGGGAAATGGGCGTACGTGGGTGTGCTTGAAGTTAGGACGTGGATGAATGTTATGCATGTTGTGAATGTTATGAATGAATTTATGAATTTGTGATTTTATCAATGAATGAATGAATGAATGAATGAATAAAAAAGAGGAGTTTCGATGGATTCGATTAAAATTAAATTAAATTGAATTGAATTGAATTGAATTGAATTGAATCGAATCGACCAAAGGCTTTTCCTTTTCCTTCTCCTCTCTCCTCTCCTGTGGTGCGTGTGTGGAAGGGAGTTCTGGTGTGCGTGTGTGGGTGAGGTAAAGAAAAGTGGAACGGGGTCTTTTGAGGGGTGAAGATGAGGATGGATGAGGCTTGACAATGGTGAAGGAGCACCTGCCTAGGTACGATGCTACTGTACGATGTACGGGAGTACCTGAATGTACCTGAGTATCTCTGCTCTCGTCGACGACAATGAATGGATATCAGTGGCTGAGAGGCCTCACAGTGGATCCGCGTGTGCATACAAGTGGATGATTTAGGTTGAGGTGCTCAGATGCCAGGGATGATGATTTCGTTGGTGGATTCGCTCAATGGGATTGGTTGAATCACCCTCAATTAATTTTACATGGCAGTCTTCGCTTTTCTTGCTCTTTCTTGCTGGGAGACGCCAGGAACGATTAGTCAGTTGCATTCACTGCATTCACTGCATTCACTGCTCGCATCTCTATCCATCATCGGATGCACCGTCCAGACTCAAAGACTTCTACCCACATGGAGGAATCCTTGATCTGACTTTGAACCTTTCCCTTCAGCACATTACACTTCTTCATCCATCATCCCTCGCTTGGATTCTGGTCCATCTTTTCCCTCTTTTATTCATCAATGCCATCTCAGCACTGTAGTCCAGGTCATACATGTAAGACGCCTTTGAACTTTGTTTTGCTTGACTTCTCGCTCCCTCCCTCCCATCTCTGCATCAACAGCACTGCAGGAAGAAAACGACGTATGGTAGCAATCCCTTCATGATATAATGTCCCTCTGACACTGAGGACCAACGGTTCTACCCACCCTCCGTAAAGCGTCCTCCGGTACAATAACTGGATCTACTCGCGTGGAGCGACAAATGTCATTTAAGGCAGAGGTGTGGACAACTCTCTCGCTAACTGCCAAAGACATCGTGGCTTGGTTTGCATATGGGAAATTACCACGCACTGGGATTCTCCGTATTGTCAGACAATCATTTTTGATTTTTCACCAGAACCTTGTGCGTGCTCACATGATCCATATGTTGATGTATAAAATTGTTCCCTCTTCCACTCACTCTTCACTCCATTCGCTAAGAGTGGCTTCAGAATGAACCATCACCATCACCGTCACCCAAGAAACCGGGTCCCAACACCCAAACGATTTATCTTTAGAAATGATCGCTGTCTACCCTGTCACCATCACTTAACTTTTCATGAATGCTCCGTAGGTACCGCACTCTATATTCCGACACGACTCACTCCATCTGTTTTGGGAAGAAATAAGATCTAGACATTCCCGTCTCGCATCTATATGTTGATGTGAAGAGTCTTGTGATGAATGGGTTCTTTCATTACCACGTTTTCGCCTGGACACCTTTGAGTCGGGTGCTTTGCTGTTTGTAGGTGTGCATGTATACTATACCATCATAAATCGAGAAATTCCAGACCACCCGACCTATCCCTTAATGTGCCATTTCTCCTTTTTCCCGTCAAGGCTCGATATATCACTATTTCCTACGATCTACATACTAGATATTTATATCTCTAAGATACATGACTATTTTCATATTTGAAATAGGTATGGGTATTTACTTTCCTTTCCTCTACCTGAATACACATATTGTACATACTTTTCAGATTGGTATATACTTTGATTGAATAGCTTCGAGACACTTTTCCCCTTCCATCCTGATTGACCCTCGGAAGAGAGATGGCTCGAAACTTATACATCTCAGCTCAGTTACGTACTTGATAGCTTGGGTACCTCTCTCACCCCTCCCTAATGGACGTAATGACAGCTCGAGAAACACTTCACACACCAGTCCCATCACATAACCATCACACCTAAACACACTACCCTACACCACATCTCACTACACATGACAAGACATTAGTCACCCACCTCCTCACCACACAACTAGTCAGGAACCCCCGGAACACGACCGACACTCCACGATCAAGAAAAAGGTAAAGCGTCGTGAAGAAGATGAGCTCACTGTGCGAATGTCCCGAAGCATCCGAGGCCTTCCTCGTCAGCGAAGAATCCGTCGAGTACGCGCTACGTTGTCGAGAAAGTATAACCTTATATTGGATTGGATGCATTTGACATGTGCGCATTGGTAATGCAGATTGGATATCTATCTAGGATGAAAGTTTATAGGATATAGAAGAGGGTAGTATTGTGTTGTCTTGTATGGTGTGGTAACGCAGAAGGATATTTATAGAGTACATGTATCTATACACAATACTACAATACATACAATACATACAATACATACAATACATACAATACATACAATACATACAATACATACAATACATACAATACATACAATACATACAATACATACAATACATACAATACATACAATACATACAATACATACAATACATACAATACATACAATACATACAATACATACAATACATACAATACATACAATACATACAATACATACAATACATACAATACATACAATACATACGCTCAATTCACACACCCACCAAACCAACTCCTCAGGCGCTCAGGCTCCTAGATATCTACCTATTTTTTCTACAGAGTACTCTCTCCATAAATTCAATTCAAATCAAGTCAAGTCAATTCAATGCAATTCAAGCCAATGCAACCAACCAACCAAAAAAGGGATCGAAAACGAGTACCTAATAGTTTGTTGATCCGGATTACGTACCGGCCGGTAGGTAAGATGAGCCGGGACTTACAGGACCTACCTATCAGCTTGGATCTTCCAGCTGGGGCTCGCGTCTAGATCTTTGGTAATGAATAAGGTGTACGGAGTCGGGATGGAGTAGGTACGAAATGTGAGATGTGCGATGTGCGATGTGCGATGTGCAAGACCGATTGATGGACGTGGGAATTTTAGGGAATGGTGTGAGTGATAATTATATATGCATGGATGGATGGATGGATGGATGCATTGATTTGATAATATATATATACATACATACACACATACACACATACACACATACACACATACACACATACATACATACACACATACACACATACATACATACACACATACACACACACACACATACATACATACAGACCTCAAGAAGAAATCAAATCTAGATTCCGGATCGATTCGCATCTCCTTCCCTTACCTTACCTTACCCATTCAATTCCATTTGTAGGGAGGGAGGAGATAAATGGACATGTACTATACATGATCCTACAGGTAACTCACGAATCTAGACCTTGCTCCCCCCTCCACATGGCTTTTCTAGGAAATTTCTAGTCTTGGGAGATTGGACTTCGGAACCCAAGATGCTGGATGAGATGAGATGAGATGAGATGAGATGAGATGATGAATTTTACAATGTGTGTATGAATGAATGGATACATACATACATACCTGTGATGAAGAGAAAGATAAAAATAAAAATACACACACACACACACACACATACAGAAATGCATAGATCATTTCCTTCTCCTGATTCGGATTCGGATTCGGATTCTGATTGTGATTGTGATTATTGTTCTTGTTCTTTTGGAGTAATTGTGAGGTTTAGAGTTTGAATCCTTTTGGATGGTTTGTATCTCGATAGATAGTTTGATTTTGGGTTGGTCTGGGTCTCACCATGCGAGGATTTTGTAGATGGGTAGGCGATGGGTAGATATACTAGGTAGTTTTCGAGGTATTGGATTCTGGTGGGCTTTATTTTGCTTGGGTAGGTACCTGGGTGTGAGGGTTTGGGTTGATGGGTAGGTAGAGGGGAGATGTGTAGGTGTAGATAATATGGATAAATATGGATACATATAGATGGAAAGGTATGGGAAAGGAAGGTATATTGTTGTATTGCATTGCATCTTTATATATTCA